AGAGAGGTTTGACTCGTATGGTCAACTAGCTCATCTAATCTAGTTTTGGTACATAGGATTGAAGATCCTGTATGTCCTTTGGTTTGACTTATAAAGTAGGTGAACGATAATGATGTATTTCGTTCTTCAAATAATTTGGAATAATGATGTGAATTCGTACTCTAGAAGCAATTCTATCGTGTCCTTTCTTCCTGTACTCTATTGTTCCTTAATCTATACATGTTCACTTTGAACATTATGAAATGACTCTTATGTTTTGTTTTATATTTATGACAAAATGACTCGGATTTATTAACTTTTGCTAAGAATAATAATGCTTAATTATATTGTTATGAACTATCTTGCAACTTTTGTTCTTACAGTCTAATATTCTACTATTAACTCCTAACCTTTCGATTATCCTATATGGTCCTCTATAAACAACTTCCAACTTTTTGTTATTGAAAGTCTTCAGCAAAACCATATCATCGACTTTAAATTTACTTTGATTAGTATATTTATCATAATATTGTTTCAAGTCTAATTTTTCTTTATCTAATCTGTCTCTAACGAATTGAAGAGTTTTGTTGAGTTTAAATCTTAATTCGTTGTAATAAGTGTCAAAATTATAAATTGGTTGGATAGAGGTATCATAATTATTCGGCAAGTTAACAGTTTTACCATACACGAGTTGAAATGGTGTGTAACTGTGAACAGTTGGCGTGGTGTTATAACAGAATTCAAAGTAAGGTAACCAATTGTCCCAGTTATCACCATGTTCGTTTGTGTATGTCCTGAGAAACTCATTCAGAGTTTTGTAATTTCTTTCTATTCCAGCCAGACTCTGATGATGATAAGGTGTTGAATTTACGTGTTTTAATTGCAGTAAATCACATATATTCGCAAAAATTTCATTTAGGAATTCTGTTCCCATATCTGTCTTTACACTCTTCATCATACCGAATTTTAAAATGAACTTCTCTGTTAGACTTCTAGCGATGGTGTTAGCCTCCTTATCAGGAATTGGCATTAAGCATATGTACTTAGTTAGGTCGGATTGCATTGACAATGCATACCTGTTACCATTCACAGATCTGATAAGTGGTCCGACAGTATCGATTGATACAATATCAAAGCTAGTTTGTGATGTTCCTGTCAACTCCATTGGTTCGCGAATGGGGATGCTATATTTATTTCTTTGGCAAAGATCACAATTTCTAACGAATTGAGATATATCTTTTCCCATTCCTTTCCATCTGTAAAATGCTTTAAGCTTTTTCAAAAATCGATTTTGACCGATATGCCCACCTATAGGGCTCACATGAAATGCATTCAACAAATCAGGTTTTTTTATTTTCATCCGTCACCACAATTGGAGGTTTATATTAGGATTATATTAGGATTTTTAAATTTTTCAACGTATCATTTGCAGTTTGTTTAAATTTTTCAACACAGATATATTGGAAAATTATGTCTTTTAATGATAAAGAGAGCTCTGTTATCTGCAATGATTTACACTTATTCTCTGTCTGAATAAGATCTTGCACTAATGCCAGATCCGTGTACCGATCAGGGATGGTAATAGTGTACTTAGCTTTATTTAATTTATAACGCGCATTTTCTCCGATTGAGTCTAAGGTGTTGTGAATTGTTTTGAAAACTAACTCTGGGATTCGATATACTTCCGAAAGATTAACTACTTCGTACGATCTGAGTTGATCAGGCTCAGTATCAGATGGAACGTTTGATCTTTCAGTCTCGTTCTTTGAAGATAAGTGCTTTTGTGCCATGCTTCTTGTTTGTACCGGAAGAATAAAAATTGATTTCAAGTAATCAGAGTCAATACGGATCCTACTAAGCGCGTCCGCATTAGTATTTTCCTTTCCTGGCTTGTGTACGATCTCAAAGTCGTATTCTTCCAAATCCAATCTCATACGCATCAATTTTGACGAAGGATTCTTTAAACTGAACAAGTGAATGAAAGGCTTGTGGTCGGTGGCTATTAGAAATTTCCTGCCATAGAGATACGGTCTAAAATGCTTTACACCCCAATGAATAGCCGTAAGTTCTTTCTCTATGGTTGACTTATTCTTCTCACCTTTAGTAAAACTTTTGCTTGCATACGTTACTGGCAAGTCTTCACCGATACTGCCTTGGGACAGTATTGCGGATGCTGCGACATCTGACGCACCCGTTGTGAGAATAAATGATTTGTTGAAATCGGGATATTGCAACACTCGAGGGCCAATCAAGTTTTTCTTAAGAAGATTGAATGAACTTTCACACTCAGGACCCCATATAAATTTTGCTCTCTTCTTTGACAACTGATTAAGTGGTGCAGCTTTTTCTGCAAACCTTGGTATGAATTTACGATAATAATTTGCGAAGGAAACAAAGGAGAGAGCTTCTTTTTGATTAGTAGGAGTTGGGTAGTTTTTAACTACCATGAATTTAGATGGATCAGGAGATACACCCTCTGGGGTTAAATGATGCCCTAAGTAAGTAATCGCGTTTTGCAGAAATTTGCACTTTGAAGGATTCAACTTCAAATTGTACTCACGGAGACGCGAGAAGACCTTTAGGAGGTTGTTATTGTGATGATTTAGACTTGCTCCAAAAACCATTAAATCATCTATATAGAGGAAAGTAGATTCGGGTGTTAGACCCGACATAGCAAGGGACATCATTCGTTGGAAGGAATTAGGACTGATCTTCAGTCCGAAAGGTAAGCGGGTGAATTGGTAGTGTCCATGATCTGCCGTGAAGGCTGTAACTTCGCGAGAATGATCATCAGATGCCACTTCTACCTGATGGAAACCGGATTGTAAATCAAGGACAGTGAAGTATTTGGCTCTGCCAAGTTGGTCGAGTATCTCGTCAATCCTAGGCAGGGGAAATTTATCTGCTGTAATGACCTTATTTACTTTCCTATAGTCGACCACAAGCCTCCATTTCTTTTTGTCACCATCTGATTTTTTAGGAACCAGTCAAATTGGGGAGTTATAGGGAGATGTCGATCTCTCGATAATTCCATCTGCTAACATTTTACCTGTAAAATCTCCAGCCTAAAGCTAAAGCTTTTACTGAGAGGAGCAGAGTGTCTGAAATCTCGTCAGACCACCCTCCTGCTCTTAGGCGACAATTGAGTCTGTAGCGAATTCCTGAGTCTCCTATACCTTGGCTATTAGCAGCCTTCTGAGCTTGAAGCGTAGCGCTCTCAGGTGGTATGGGCTGTCGTGAAGCGACGCCTTTCAGAGATGTCTCGAGACTGTGATGCAGTCTGGAGACCTCAGTTAGCCTCTGCACGGGCTTGCCGCAGATCTCAAATTATCTCAAGTGTCTGTACACTTGAGGAGTGAGCCGTGGATCAAGATTTACTTGATTCTAGGCTTGAGACGTGTTGTTTTCTCACTTGAACTGCCGTTGATTCCGCTGCTGCTGAGGAGATGATCTCGGCAATACTGGGTGCTGAGATCTGGTGGAGTCCACTGGTAGCTCCTTGACCGCTCTCTGGCTGGCTTCTGCTGGTGATGACTCCGTCAGGATCCTCAGGGTGATGCTGGATCAGCTGCTTCTTCTCGGGCCTCGCTGGGTGATGTTTCACAGTAAAAAACACTTTGGTTGTTCTGTTCAACTGCCGTCTTCGTCACTGATTTATTCATGCTTCACCTCTCCAATATATACCCTACATTTGTTGACAGTAGCAAATTGTATAAAAAATATGAGCATTTGCCTCATCGAGGTGCTTCAATTCAACTTTTGCTGACTATTTGGGTCGCGCAAGTGACATGAATTCCGTGTTTCGGCAATGGAATTTCTGGTTTCACAACCAACTTATTTCCGCGGATAGATATTCTTATCCTATGGTCCATGATCCTTGGGGATTGAGCTTATATGGCAATAACTTGTGTTTATTGACTCAATCTTCACCAATTACTCACTTTCCATGACAATTGTGGTGTTTTTTTATCCCTAATCTCCTGTTAGTGATTTGCTATCCTAGTCTAGGGATTAGTGGGGAAACGAGGGATCATATTAGTAAGGATTCCTATCGGTTATCTTATCAGGACATGTCAGAAATTGCCTCTAGAGTGTGAAATAGTCTGATTTGACTTGTCTGAAGGTGACCATGGGTTATTAAGGATATAAAAGGGATAAGAGAATTTTGATTCCCATGGTCAAGTAGCTTGTCTAACCTAGTTCTGGTACAGAGGATTGAGGATCTTGTGTATCCTTTTGTTTGGATTTTAAGGTGGGTCAACGAGATTCATGTCTCAATCAATCTGGGGAATTTTGGAATAGTTGACGTAATTTTGATCTCTTGAGGCGATTTGATCGTGTCCCTTTCTATCCTAGATGGTTAGTCCTTATACTACTTTCAAAGCATGTTCATCCTGAACATCCTGGGGCCCCGCGGCAGCGTCGGTTGATTTGTCTCCAATGATGCGCTGAAGTCTCTCTGCCAATGGTGTACGACATGTTGACTGCGGCCCAGCATCCATGTTTAGATTTCTGGAGCACCTGTGGCGTAATGGTTTCCACCAAAGGTCCTTGGTTATCCACAGTGTGAGGTTATTCACCTGTGGATGGGGGATGGAGAGAGTGAGGTTAGAATCCTGCAAATCACCCCAACTATGCTGTGACCAATTACCTGTGTAAAATAACGCAAGACTGTTAGCAAATCTGTCACAGATCTCTTTCTGGCGATTCTCATTTTTACCTGGAAACGAGAGGAAAGATAGCTTTAGCATTCGGCGAGAAAAGACCGAAATGAAAGCTCTTTCCCTCGTGGCGAAGGCAATCTCCTTGTCTGACGCAATTCTCGCACAAAAAGCCTCTCTGTGATTCCTTCTAGTCCTGCGAACTGATCTGTGATATCTCTCTGTGATACCGAATTGTCCAAAACTCCACACACGTCTATTTTAAGCTATTTATTTCACTTTTTAAACTCCCAAAATTCACTTTTACGTCCGTCTTCAATTCTCCATTTTCTCTCTCTCTATGACATTTCTTCTTCTTCTTCACTGATCGACACCCGGCTGTACACCAAGGCCGATATTCTCCACATTTTCCCCCCCTTGAGTCCTGGAGGGGCTCAAGAACGGGTCGAGGGGCAGCCAAGCAAGGGTGTTGACTGCACGCTTTTGTACTCCATCCTGGGTCTTCACAGTCACCACGCGTACTACTTCATCCCTGCCAGGGTGAATCTCCAGAACTCTTCCCATGCTCCAGAAGGTGGGCTTGAAAGTGTTGTCTCGAAGCAGCACTAAATCCCCAACACAGAGATTGCGGGTCTTCTTGTACCACTTTGGACGATGTTGAAGCGTGGTCACATATTTTTGCTGCCAGCGTCGCCAAAAGTCCTGAACCATCCGCTGCAGCAGAATCCATCGACTCAGACGATTCGGGTTTGAACTCAACAAATCTGGATCTGGTGTCAAGTTCAGCGCGTGGCCCACAAGGAAGTGGCCAGGGGTCAACGGGTCAAGATCCTCCATATCCGATGACTTAGCACAGAGTGGGCGAGAGTTCAAGCACGCCTCAATCTGCGCGAGGACAGTCGACAGTTCTTCGAAGGTCAAGATGTACTCACCAACTGCCCGGCGGAGATGTCTCTTCACATTCGACACACCTCTCTCCCACAATCCGCCAAAGGTCGGCGAATATGAAGGGATAAAATGGAATTCTGTTCCATTTCCTGCCATCTCCGACGTCACCCTGTCGCGATGAGCTCTGACGCCTTGTAGTCTCTCCGCTCGTGTTGTTCCGGAAGCGCCCAAGAAATTTGTGCCATTATCACAGAAGATGGAATGGCAATGTCCTCGTCGCGCACTGAATCTCCTTTGGGCCGCGAGAAAAGCATCCGTGGTGAGATCGCTGACTGCCTCCAAATGCATAGCCTTAGTGCTCATGCAGATGAAAACAGCGATATACGCCTTGATGATTGGTGCCTTCCTGAGCTTGGATGCGCGTATTTTAATGGGTCCCGCGAAGTCACAGCCACTTTGATAGAACGCTCGATGTTGCTGAACGCGGGCGGCGGGCAAGTCGCCCATGAATGGCGTCTCCGTGGTGGGCCTGGCTTTGATGCACCTGACACATTTCCTCGTGATGCCTTTTGCCAAGCTCCTGAGTCCCAAAATCCAATATCGAGTTCGCAGAGCCGTCATCAAGATTGACGCTCCAGCATGAAGATTCATCTCATGAGTGAAGATGATCATTTCCCTGACGAATTTGTGATCTGATGGCAAGATGATGGGATGCTGTGTCGCGTAGCTCATCTCAGCGTTTGCCAATCGTCCTTGGACTCTCAACAAGCCATCCTTGTCCAGAAAGGGCGCAAGTTTTAGCAACTTGCTGGATTTCAGCAAAGGTTCTCCCCTGCCACAGCTCTTGTATTCAATCGGAAAAGCCTTCCTTTGAATGTGCCTCAGTATGCGGATTTTCGCCTCCTCCAACTCCTTCACTGTCAGAAAACCCGCTTGTCGCTCTTTCTTCTCAACTCGTCGGTTTTTGAAGAATTTAATCCAGTACGCCACAAACCGGATAATCCTAAGATATCCAGATGTGACTTCCAGCAGATGCGTGAGTGGGTCAGCATCGATTTGGGTCATCAGTGATGTTGCGTGTGAAGATCTCTCTTCACCAGTCTTTCCTTTCGCAGTCTTATTCTCTGGCCATTTCTCTTCACTGTCGCCTAGCCACGGCGGTCCATGCCACCAGAGATGATGGTCGAGAAGCTCTTTCGGTGAGACTCCACGTGAGATACAATCCGCTGGGTTGCTCGCAGTGGGAACGTGGCGCCAGTTAGCGGGCGCGAGAATCTCCTGAATAGCACACACCCTGTGTGCCACGAACGTGTTCCAAGTTCTTGGGGACTCCTGAAGCCACTGAAGCACAATGGTGGAGTCCGACCATGCGTAAATCTTCATCTGTTTGTCAGTCACTGCCTCCTTCACTTTGGCAATCAAGTGAGCAAGCAGTAGCGCAGCATTTAACTCCAGACGAGGGATGGTGATTGGTTTTAGCGGTGCCACTCGTGACTTGGCAATCACTATGCTGATCTTGGTGTTTCCGGATGAATCGACGCCCTTTACATACACTACTGCCCCGTATGCACGTTCAGAGGCGTCCGAAAATCCATGAATCTCCATGATGTTGCTCTCAGACGGAAGTCCACGAGGCACACGCACATCCTGAATCACGTGAAACTCCGCCTGCACTTGATTGTAAGCCTCCGCGATTTCCACAGGAAGCTGATCGTCCCATTCCAAACTCGCCAACCACAGTGCCTGGAACATCATCTTGAGATTTATCACCACGGGGGAGATAAAGCCCAAGGGGTCAAACACTTTTGCTGTCGCTGCGCACAAGTCCCGTTTGGTACGGGCTGGAGGAAGTTCTTCAAGCACCAGTGAGAACTCGTCCTTCCCAGGGCGCCACTTCAGACCAAGAGCTGAAATAGCCTTCGACTCCGACATCACTTCATCGGGAGAGATCGCTCGCATCTCTGGTTGAATGTCCTCTAGAACTTCACATGAATTAGAGGCCCACTTTCGCAGACTGAAATGCCCCTTGCGGAGCACTTCCTGAATCTCAGCCTGGAGCCTTTTGCCTTGCTCCACAGACTCCGCTCCACAAAGAAGATCGTCCATATAAAACGATGTCAAGATGGCACGACAAGCCTCAGGATATTCCTTCATGTAGTCGTGCGCGATTTGATGTAGCACTCTCACGGCCAGGAAAGGCGCGCAAGACGTCCCATAGGTGACTGTCAGCAGTCGGAAACTTCGCAGTTGCTCTTGAGGATTGCTCCTCCAATAGATCCTTTGGAAATCGGTGTCCTCCTCGGCTACTCGAATTTGCCGATACATTTTCTCTACGTCGGCCGTCATCGCCACTTGATACGTCCGGAAGCGCAGAAGAAGCACCAAGAGATCTTCCTGGCGCGTGGGTCCAATGGCAAGTACATCATTGAGTGATGGCTTGCTCGGGCGAGTAGTGGCTGACGCATCAAACACCACCCGAAGCTTCGTCGTCTCGCTAGAGAGCCTGAGAACCGCCTGATGAGGTAGATAGTAGACTTGGTCGTCTGGCTTAGGATCCCGATCAATCACTGGCTCCATGTGACGGAGGCTGAGGTATTCTGCCATGAATGCCTCGTACTGCTCCCGGAGGCTCGGATCCTTCGCTAGTCGCCTCTCAAGCGACTGGAATCTTGCAAGTGCGGTTGTGGTAGAGTTGCCCAACGGTTTGTGCTCTTCCTTGAAGGGCAGCTTGACGACATAACGGCCTGTGTCGTCCCTCGTGTGTGTCTTTGTGAAGTGCTCTTCACAAGCTGACTCTTCAGCGGTGAGAATCGGCTTTTTCTCCAAATTACTGTTGTCCACCTCCCAGAATCGCTTCAACAAGTCGTCGAGATCTTCACAGCGAGTGTGAAGAGAGGTGATGCTATTGAGTGGACCACTGATTGGACCACCCACAACCCAACCAAAGATGGTGAGTTGTGCCACGGGCTCTCCAGGTTCGCCCTTCAGAATCTGCGGCAGATTTATGGCCATCGCATATTCTGCCCCAAGGATGAGGTCTATTTTCCCCGGAATCTTGTAGTGAGGATCAGCGAGTTGCAAACACTCGAGGTGTTTCCACTTCGACGCCGAGATGTCCGTAGACGGCAACATAGACGTCACTTTCTCGAAAACGTACGCTTCCACCTTGATCTTGTTCTGAGGCTCATATCGCGAGGACAACTCCATGACGATCATCCCTTTAGTGAAGCCCACCTTGACTTCACCAGCACCCTGCACCGCTATTTTTGCCCTTGTTCTAGGCAATCCCAGTCGTTGCGCACAGGCTTCAGCCACCAATGTGCACTCGCCACCTCCGTCGATAAGCACACGACAAGCCTGAAGATTGCCATGTACATCCCTGATGTCCACTACAGCTGTAGGCAAGAGCGCCTTTCGATTAATCGCAGAGTGATGTGTAGTGATCGTCGACGGTTGTCCGGACTCAGTCTGTTGGGTCTCGTTTGTGGTCTGAGAGACCACCGAAGTTGATGCTTTAGGAGCAGCATTAGGCACCGATGGCGCCACTTCCTCTGGTTCGGGGTCCATTTTCGGTGAGTGGAGAAGAGTATGATGCCTCTTCCCGCATTTCTGGCAGCTGGTCTTCGACTGACACTTGGCAACAGAATGGCCAGTCCTCATACAATTGTAACAGAGATGATGAATCCCCATTCGCTCGCGCTTCTCGAAGAGCGTGAGGCTCTTGAACTTGTCGCAGAGGTGAAGCGGATGATTGCTGTTGCATTCCGGACACTTTGACGCATTCGTGTGATGGCTCTTGATGCCAGGCTTTCCCTGTTTATTGGACGTCTTTTGCTCAGACGTCTTCTGCTCAGTCGAAGTAAGTTTGAAGCTCTGACTCGCACGCTCCATGATATCCGTCTCTTCTGTCAAGAAATCGAAGAAGTCATCCAGCTTGCACAATGCATCTGAACTCCTGCCCCCTTCCCACTTCATGCGGAACTTCACACTCATGTTGGACTTCATCAGATATATGAGCCACATATCCAAAGACAAACAATCTTCTCCCAGCGCTTTGAGACCGTCGATGATCTGTCTGTACTTCCTGTTGGCCGCTTGAAGGTCAGAAGCATTCTCCACCTTCGTCTGTGTTTGTGCCATGAATTGCTCGATGTAGGCGTTGACAAGATGAACTTTCTTTCCATAACGCTTCTTTAGTCTGTCCCAGGTGGCTTCGTAGTTCTCGTTGGAGATAGAAATGTGGCTGACGTCTTCGGCAGCGCTTCCCGACAGACTCATCTTAAGATACTGCATCTTTTGGTTCGGCATAAGTTCATCATTGTCATGTATGGCACTCTCAAATGCATCCCTGAAGTGGGGCCAATCTGTGTACTTTCCGTCAAAGGAAGGTAGCTTCAATTGTGGCAGTTTCGTACGACTGCCACCCGGAGTTCCTGCTGAACCCTGTCTCTGTACCTCGAAGAGCTTGCTCATGAGCTCAGTTTGCTTCGACAACACCGTCGCGATATTGTCTCCTTGACCAGTGTCTTGCTGTGTCGGTGGATGAACGTTTGGATCCCTGTTTGCGGCAATAACTTCCATTAGCTTGAGCTCCAAGTCGACGAATCTCTCATTCAGCGAATCGCCTTCCGCCTGTTCAGTCACCAAAGCTTCCTTATCTCCCTCAAGCAAGACTTCGATGTGATTCTGTGAAATAGCACATTTCTGCGCCATCTCCCTGACCTTTGCAACAAAACTCTCTGCTGCACCTTCTGTGAGGTTATGTGCGTCCAAAAACCTCCTCTCCAGCATCGTGAGCTGACGCTTGTAAGACGCTCTCTCCACTTTGGCGGCCTTCAGAGATATGTCCGCCATTTTCGTGCTCATCTAGTCGAATAGCAGCGTCAAAATGGCTGGAGCTTGTGCCTCCGCGTTGTAGAGAACGAGGGATGCGTGTCGAATCTGGACCTGAGAGCGCCGTCCACGGCGGAAGATTCGACGAGCTGAATCCCTGTGCGAGAGCGCTAGCAGCGCGTTCAAAGAAGAAGGATTTGTAGAAACCCTTTGCCAGAGAGCCTGTCGTCGCTGGCTCGGTCCTGAGGAGTGTTGAGCTGGTCGTCACTCCGTGCCACGAAGGACCAGAATATGTGAGGTTATTCACCTGTGGATGGGGGATGGAGAGAGTGAGGTTAGAATCCTGCAAATCACCCCAACTATGCTGTGACCAATTACCTGTGTAAAATAACGCAAGACTGTTAGCAAATCTGTCACAGATCTCTTTCTGGCGATTCTCCTTTTTACCTGGAAACGAGAGGAAAGATAGCTTTAGCATTCGGCGAGAAAAGACCGAAATGAAAGCTCTTTCCCTCGTGGCGAAGGCAATCTCCTTGTCTGACGCAATTCTCGCACAAAAAGCCTCTCTGTGATTCCTTCTAGTCCTGCGAACTGATCTGTGATATCTCTCTGTGATACCGAATTGTCCAAAACTCCACACACGTCTATTTTAAGCTATTTATTTCACTTTTTAAACTCCCAAAATTCACTTTTACGTCCGTCTTCAATTCTCCATTTTCTCTCTCTATGACATTTCTTCTTCTTCTTCACTGATCGACACCCGGCTGTACACCAAGGCCGATATTCTCCACACACAGGATGATGATGATGATGATGATGATGATAATGCTTCCCAATACTCCAGATATTGTGTACGGAGTATGCCTCGGTATGGGTAACAATTCTAGTGGTACAACAGCTGGTACTGGTGTTGCAACCTTGGCAAAGATGTCCTCGGATTTTTTGATGATAGAAGAAGAGTTCAAGGTGATTGGCTGCTCTAACTTGAACTGTGTTGAGTTGATTTCCGGGAACGGTAGTGGTCGGTTAAAGATGCTCACGGCTTGGAGATCCATAGCAATGCTTGCTCTAAGCGTGAGTGTTTTGGTTTTCACGAAGCAGTCCCTTTTGACATGCAAGATTCCACTGGTGTTAAGCACTGTTTCTTCACGATATCCTCCACACATGATAGCTATCATTGTAGGTTTTTGAGTCATGAAGAACCACGTGTTTTCCGTGTTCAATCTCTTCCAGATGACATCTCGTACTTGTACTTTTTTGGTGGGACATGCCTTGCCTTCATGCTTGTTAAACACCTCGTCGAGAATACAAGAGGGGTGAGCAGCCATGTCGTATACGATGTCCACCTCGCATATGCGCTCGCCTTGTTGTACCTCTTGACACCTTTCTAGATCAGTGTCTTGCATGATGAAATATCTCTGATTATGATAGTCAGCGCCTGTCAATGAGTCCTTGATGTCCTGCATGGCATAAGTGGCGTTGTACAGATGTTGAGGTATCGGGGTGGTGTGAATGAGTTCATAGCTAGTAGTCTCTATGATGTGGAAGTACACATAGACCAGGATGGCGTCTTGTGTGGCTCTGAATCTGGTTGATTCTTGGATCTGTTTGGAGATCATGAGGCTAGCCCCTAATTTCTTGTGTGCTGCTTCGATTCTTGAATTGGTCTCTGACCGGCAGAGGAGTTCTACCCCTGTACCCTTGTTGGTGAGCACACGGATTATAGCCTCATGTTTGCTCTTCAGCTCCTGGAGATAACCTGATGCTCCTAGATAGGTGGTTAACATGTGTAATTCCAGCCGGTTTCTATCTATGGACGCATCCCAAGGTTTCATGTCTTCTATTGCCCTAGTGAGTTGCTCAGCTCTATCGTTGAACGTCCTCAACTTCTCCTGAGTGATCTCATTGGACTGGGTAATTCTCGTATTCAACAAGAGTGTCTGTTGATTCATTGTTTGGAGGAGTGCGTTGTGGTTGTGTCCCAACGCATCGAGATGGGTGTATACATCATCTTCATCGCTGCCAAACATGAATTTCATGACTTTACCCAGAAGACCACGTCTTTTTCGTGTGAAGGCGAGTTGAGTCAGCTCATCAATCTCGTCTAGGTTGTTAAGACATGTGTTTCTTTCGTGCTCTAGATGTCGCATTAGGATTTCACACTGTGTATGACTGACCATCTTCTTTGTCTCCTCACATAGTGTCCTGCTTTGGTTCCATACCTTGACTATTTGAGACCGTTCTGCATTGAATGTTGTTCTGGGCAATAGCAGTTCCATTCTCAGCTTTCCTCTACTGAGATGAACTACGCCCAATTTTTCAATGAAGAGGCCTGGCTCTAGTTTAGTCAGTGTGATATTACTCGCAAAGATGGTAGTGAAGAGAGTCATGAAGTAGAGCATCGTTACAAGTGCTGAGCGGGTAACCGATCTCGTCTGTGGTCGTTTTGTCACAGAGCTTGTGGATGGGTTGGTCTGCTGCTGCTGTGGTGGAGCAGCATCGTCTACATCTGGAGTAGAAGTACTCGCTGGTAGTGGTCCTACTGATTCGTTTGTGGTTTCAATAGGTAGTTGAATCAGCTTGTGGATCGGAGCTTGCTTGAGCTTCTGATTCTTTAGCCTGATTGTGGCAACGCGGACAAGTCCGTCTTTTCCCGGGTGGAGCTCTGTAATCCTCGCCATTGGCTACTTGAGAGGGGGGCTGTTGTCTTCTCGGAGTAAGACCAGGTCACCAATCTCTGGATTTGAGGTCTGGTCGCGCCATTTTGTCCTCTGCTGTAGCGTGGTGAGGTATTCCTGGGACCAGCGTTTCCAGAGCTGTTGTTGTATCTTGGTGATCTGCCTCCATCTATTGATTGGAGTGGCTTCTAGCTCGTCACGTTCTGGAGGGGCGGTGAGTTCTCTTCCAATCCAAGTGGCCTGGGGTGAGTGCCTCTAGGTCATTGGGATCATTGGAGATTGGCGCGAGTGGTCGTGAGTTAACACACGCCTCGATCCGAGTTAACAGAGTTGAGAGCTCCTCGAATGTTAACTTTGTCAGGCCAATTACTCTTATCAGATGGTATTTGACTGATTTCACGGCCGCCTCCCACAATCTTCCAAAATGTGGTGTGCCTGGAGGGATGAACTTCCACTGAATTCCCTCATGTGCCAGTGTGTTAACGACACTTTTAGAGGCTCTTTTTACCGCTTGAGCTACCTCCTTGTCCAGTGTTCGTTTTGCCCCTACAAAGTTTGTGCCATTATCACTCATTATTATGGCGGGTTTGCCACTTCTGGCAATAAACCTTTGTAATGCGGCTATAAACGATTCAGTGCTCAGGTCCGATACGGCTTCGATGTGCATTGCCTTTGTGACAAGACATACAAAGATGGCAATATAGGACTTTTCGTTAATGTTCTCGCGTCCTTTGTTCCGACGAGTTATTATCGGTCCGGCGTAATCTACTCCACATCTTGCGAAAGGTGGAGCCGAGGTGACTCTGGAAGCAGGAAGGTCTCCCATGAGTTGATTTGCCGACTTTGGTGCACATCGAGCACACCTCACGCATTTGTGAACTACTGTCTTGACATAGTTCACTCCTTTGACCACCCAGAATTGTGTTCGCAATTGATTGAGCGTTAGCTAAGGACCTGCGTGAAGCATCTTTTCGTGGACTTCTCGGATTATGGTGTCCGTTGTATGGCATTTCGGGAGTAGGATAGGATTCTTTGTGCGGACCGCAAGTAGCGAGTTGTGTATCCGCCCTCCTACTCTGAGAACTCCGTCATCGTCGAGGAATGGATACAAGTCTTTGATCTTGCTTTTGGCAGGTAGAGGAGAGTTTCTTTTTAGGGCGTTAATCTCCTCAGGAAAATGTCTTTGTTGTATTAGTCGGTAGATCTGTCTTTTTGCCTTTTGACGTTCTGCGGTAGTTAAATGCTCCGACTGTTTGTCTTCAGATTTTAGCTTCGAATTCGTAATGAATCTGAGAAGCAGAGCGATGACTATAATCAGCTTGTTGTAGGTAGAGAATTTGCGGAGGAATGTGTCGTTCTTGTCATCTGTGTGAGCAACTGAGCTGAATGCTTCTTGGGCATGCTCTAAGGTGGTGAACATTCCAAGCGTAAAGTGACACTTGGTGGTCTTGAGGATTTCTTGTTCGAATTCTTCAGCGTGCTCATTTCTTTTGGCTGGCAAAGCTTCATGTGGCTTGGAGAGCCAATTTGGGCCCCGCCACCAAAGTGCGGACTCGTGTAGAAGTTCAGCCGTGGTGCCTCTAGAAGCGATGTCTGCGGGATTATCTGCAGCAAGCCCGTGCAGAGGCTAACTGAGGTCTCCAGACTACATCACAGTCTCGAGACATCTCTGAAAGGCGTCGCTTCACGACAGCCCATACCACCTGAGAGCGCTACGCTTCAAGCTCAGGAGGCTACTAATAGCCAAGGTATAGGAGACTCAGGAATTCGCTACAGACTCAATTGTCGCCTAAGAGCAGGAGGGTGGTCTGACGAGATTTCAGACACTCTGCTCCTCTCAGTGAAAGCTTTAGCTTTAGGCTGGAGATTTTACATTGGTCGGACATTCGGAACGGATGGGCCTTGAAGGCAAAAAAGACGATAATTTTGGTAGCACAAGGGCTGTCGTGCACCATTTGAGCTGGGAGGAGAATCGAGGAGCGATTGTAATGTCCATTGTTGTTTTGCTTACGGCTGCCTTGACGTCACCGATTCCTTTGATGGATGTCGCAGTTTTCTGCCTCGGCAACTTGAGTGTTTGAGCAGCAGACTCAGAAATGAAGGTGTCTCCTGAGCCTGTGTCAAGGAGAGCTCTGAAGTGCTGCCATTGTCCAGCCTTGTCACGAATCCTAATTTCGGCGGTTGAAAGTACGAGCGAGCTGGTTTTGGTGTGAAATGCTACAGGAGCATCTTCAGTAGACTCTGCGTCGCTCTCGTTAGGAACGGAGGTATGAAGACTCTTCTTATTGGTTGGTTTCTTCTGTTCGAAGTGCAGAAGAGTGTGGTGGCGTTTGTTACAGGTGAAGCAAGTCTTTTTGCTCTTACAGTCATCCTTCCTATGATGCGTAAGGCAGTTGTAGCAGAGATTTTTCTCTTTTGCATGATCTTTGCGTTGTAGCGGTGTGAGTTTTTGAAACTCTGGACATTTCATTAAGATATGGTCATTGCCACATTTTGAGCAGGTTACTTGTAAGGAAGAAGCCGTATGGAAGGACTTCTTTTTGAGTTCCTTGGAGTACTGAGCCTCTTTGGGAGAAGCACGGAGGATGCGGTACCTCTTGAGAAGGAATTTCATGAGTTCAGCAATGGTTGGAACAGCTGTCACATCGATGATACTCTCCTCAAAGGCCTTGTTCGTCTCACCGTCGAACTTCTGCATTGCAATTGAGACCAGCATTGGATCCCAAGTCGTCACATTGTAGCCAAGATTTTTCAATCCTGCTATACAGGCGTTGATACAGTCATGTAACTGGATCACTTCATCAGCTGAGGCTGCTGTAAGCCTCCTGTGTTGGACAATGGAGCTCATGTAATTGTTTACCATGAGCCGTTTATTCTCATATCTCGCCTTGAGAATCTCCATTGCGCTCTCATAATTGGCATTGGTCAGCGCCAAATGCGATATCAATTTCTTGGGCGTTGCCTCAAGATTCGAAATGAGGTATTGCATTTTCTGAACGCCACTAAGCGTACTATTATCATGAATGACGCTTGTAAACAATTCGATGAACGCCTGCCATTCGCTCTCCTTCCCGCTGAATCTTAGTAATTTGATCGGAGGGAGCTTGGGAAGATGTCTTGGGCGTGAAAAAGTGTCGTCGCGGTTTCCTATTTCACCATCGTCCATTGAGTCAAGTAGCTGACGTAAGCGTTCCTTGAGGTTCATTTTTGATGGGCGTGGACGATCGAGTAATGGCTGATCATCGCGTGGTGTTTCATTCTTGCTGTTAGGCAATGGTTGAATCAGGTTGGAGTCTCTGGAGGATCCAGGCAATGGGTCTTCGCTATGAGGAGCTTCTCGTTGGAAGTCGGCTATCATCA